TACATGACGTATCTATCAGCTGTCAAATGAGCTGGAAAAAATCCAAAAACTCTGTTGCAAAATCATCGGCACTGAGCACCAGCAACTACACACGCTAGAGTTTAGGCGACATGAAGCGTCTCTACGCGAGCTGCAGCGAATCCTGAAAGACACCACACATCCCTGTAGACTGTTCCTGCCTCCAGTGGTTCAGACACCCTACAACCTACGCCGCCGTACGGGACTGAAACCACCACTCAGCAGATGAAATAGACACAAAAACTCTTTCATACCCAGAACTCTTTCGTCAATTTAAAGCCCGCGAAATCTTTGTGCTTGTGTTCTATATTTAATGTTGAGAGATTTTAACAATATCGGAAATTCGATGTCTTTTTAAACTAATGGTATTTTAAATGTAATGTTTTTTATGCATGAAATGTAAAATCAACCCAATTTAGTCTTGTCAAAGACTACAAAGTTGATTGTTTAATAAAGTTTACAAGAGAGAAGAGGTCGATGACCTTCGTCATGTATGAGTCTGGGTTGTCAGAAATGTGCTGCTGTATATAGTCTGGCGTTTATTTTGCTGGTACGTGAACCAAAGGATATGTGATTCTTTAGCCGTAGTACAGAAACATACGTTACACGTGTACGGAAATTTTCCGACATACATGTAGTCAGCTAGTATCCACTAGATGAAACGTATCGTATTACCTGGATGTCTAACCTTCATCGCCGTATCACAACATCCATTTGTCACTAAAACAACTTTGAAAAAGGAAAGTTTTTAATCAATCATTGTCTTCGTCAGAAGGACTATGAAATTGTCTCGCCGGAGTGTGGGGAACTGCAGATTTTGCAATATAACTCTGGAAGGCATGATTCGACGTCCATGATTTTTGGCAGGCATATTACCGCTGTTGAGGCCGAAGTCAAGTACAAGTTTCGGCTTCGTGGGGGGTCCGTGTGTCACGTTAGTGCACCTTTTGTGTTTGTGGCTTGTTAGCAAGATAACTCAAGTATTTGTAAAATGTTGATTATAATTCTTGGTGTGGTGCTTACTATTGTCGGGACCAAGGTTAAGTTCGTTACTGAGCTTCGTGGGGGGTTTCGTTGTGACTACAGGGGGCATTTTGTTAATTTTTCTTGTGAGCAGGATAACTTTTGTATGTGTGGATGGAAGTAAATGAAATGTGATAGGCATATTACTGTCGTGGTCTCCAAGATTGAGTTCAAAGATGAGAGTCGTGGAGGTCGTTATGTCCCCGTAATAGGACCTTTTGTGTATAGAAATCCCCCACCTACATCTGCTTGGAGACAGCCGACAGCTGGATATATAGCCGGGGAACCCCATAATGGGATGGGATCAAATGACGTTACATTGAGGGATTGTACTATAACTTCAGCAGGGGGAGGATAGGTTGGACATATGTCAGGTTATTTTCCACGGCCACACCAAGTAATTGCTATGGATGACGTCCACTGGAGACCTCAAATCTAATTACCTTAAATTTAAGGCAAGCGCGCAATAAAAACACGAAGGGCCGAAAAACGAGATGCCTAGATTTGGAATATACTAACTGTAGAAGTACAAATGTTAGGACACAAAGAACACAAGTCTTCTATTTGTCATAAAGACAAATTAACAAAACAGCAGTAGTCACCCTGTTCTGATTCTTTCCTTTATAACATCTTCTCTTATTATAT